GCAAAATATTAATTGTTGGCAATTGTTGTGCATGGCTGGATTAGCACAGGTTGTTCGTTGATGAAGAAGGAAGATTTCTGCTCGCTGAGTGTGTCTGAGTGGGTTCTGTCCTTACTGAACCATGGAAATGTACTCCTGACTTTTTCGTTGCTTCCTTCCCTTCCTCAACCCATTAAATTTGTGCTGCATCACCCTCCGAGTCTGCCTGGCCTTCTTTGCTGTCCCAGCCCCTTTTCCAGTGCCTTTGGAAGTCCCCAATTCCAGAAAACACCACGCAAAAAATTTCAAAGGAGAACGAGTCAGATTTCGGTGGTGGAAAACTTTTAAAACCGAGCCTGAAACCCCTCATCCAAGGCAGAAAGGGACCCTGCAATGGGTGCCTCCTGCTGGGACATAAACAGGGAATTTTTAAAGATGTTTTATTTGTGAAAAGTGTTTTAAAAGAAGATAGCTCAGCTGAGGTTCCTAGGGGAAATGTGGAGGGAAAGAAGCAGCAATTGGGGCATCCTTTTTTGGGGTGCAGCATCTCCTGGCAGCTGAGCTCAGCCCCAGTGAGTTTGGGAGGGGAGGCGCAGAAGGATGGGGAGCGTTTCTCCCTTTGGAATTTGCTGGGTTGGGAAGCAAGCCTGGGACAGAGAGATTAAAGGACTAAAATTTAAAGAATTTTTAGTTCCAACCCTCTCTTAGGGTGTTTTAGGACAAAGCTGAGCTTTATCAAGCGTGGCTTTGCTCCTCCTGGATTGGGACGAAGGTGTGGTTTAGACACCCTGAAGGAAGAAGGTTTGGAAAGCTTCCCCTGAGGGCTCTGGGTGACTCAACCTCCTGTCACCCCTTAAAACTCCTGATATCTCTGAAAAGTCTTGCTTGGAGTCTTTGTCTGCTTGTCCAGAATGAGGCTGAGCTGTAATTAAAGATGCTGATGAGCTTTCTGCCGACTGCAGTCATTAGTGGAATGAAATTAAAGGAGGCAAATGAAAGAATTAATAATTTTAAGGAGGAGATTTTTTTAATAAACACCAGAAGACAGTGGAAAGCTGGCAGTTTGATGTTCTATTACAGGACGAGCTTGGTCTGGATGAAATGTTTAATTTAATATTTTTTGCCATCTCATCTGAAGCTATTCCCTGATCAAAGGTGATGAATTCCAAAAAGTCCAATGGCTCCAAAGGGCTGTGACTGAGACATTGCTGAGACGGTGGCTTGGACAGGTTCAGGTGGATATTTCTCATAACAAAATCAATTTCTTACCCTTGCCACTCCCTTCTCATTAATTGAACCAAATCCCTTCCCAGACTGCAAAAAACCTCCCCTCAAAGTTGGGGTGTTTCCTCCAAACATTCAGAAATCACATCAGAATAAAATATGACCCTCAAGCACCAGTTTCCCCTTTATTCCTGTCCCAAACGACCTTTTGGATTAAAACTTGGTGTGGCAACCAGTAAAGCACAATTCTGAGGGAAAAAGGGAAATCTGGGTGGGTTTGCAGTCAGTTAGAAAGTGATTTATTCACTGCTGCAGAAAACAAGTGGGAATATCCTGTTAAGAATGTTTTCCACAGGGAAGTATTTCTCCTGAAGATCATGGTCCCACAGAAATAAAAAATGCCAATATTTTTTCAGAAATATTTTTTGTCAGCAAAAATCCCTTTCAGCACCAAATTGTGCGGAGCTGAGGCCAGAGCTGCAGCATCTCCTGGGTTTATGGGGAGCAGGGAAGAGGCAGGAAGGCTCTGGAGAGCTTTTATGGCTTTCTGGGGCTGCCTGGAGGATCCCAGACATTCCTGCACCTTTTATTACCCAGTCCCCGCAGGAGCTGTGGGTTTGCATTTGGCCGGGTTCCCAGCAGGGAAATTGGTTTGTTTACTGTTTATGTTCATGATGGTTTTTTCTGGCCGCGGATGAAACCCACGACTCGCGAGGCCGCTTTCATCTCCCTGCTTTGCATCCATTAAATATTCCCGGCTCCATCGCGCCAACTCCACCTCCCAAAGTGGGGGTGAGTCAAAATCCCATTTGTTTAGGACTTCTGGCATTTTGGACACACACCTGGGAGCAGCCCCTGGTGTGGCAGCAGGTTTTAATTGGAGTCCTGAGTGTGCAATTCCAGCCGAGAGAAGTGTCCAGGAGATTTCAGATCGCTGCTCCTTGTAATCTTCCCAGGAGCAGCATCCCAAAAGTTCTTGGCTCCTGGGAGGAGAAGATGGAGCCATCCAGACAAGCTGGACTTAGGATCACCTTCAGAAGTGGAATCTGGGCTCTTTTTATCTTCTCTGTAGCTTTGGATGAGTTGGCCTTCAAACCACAAGCTGCTCTTGGAATCGATAGATAATTATTGTTATAAAGGAAAGTCAGGGAACCATGGAATGGTTTGGGTGGGAAGGGGACTTAAAAATCATCTAAACCATGGGCAGGGACACCTTCCACTATCCCAGGGTGTTCCAAGCCCTGTCCAGCTTGGCCTTGGACACTTCCAGGGATGGGGCAGCCACAGCTTCTCTGGACAACCAATTTTTTAAACATTTCTGTGCATGCAGCGAGGACTTTGGGAAAGTCTGGTCGATCTTGAGGGACAGGAGAGTTTCCATGGTGTCATCATTTTGGGTCATCCCAAACTGGGGACATCCAGCGACTGAGTAGATGCAAATTCTTATTTGTATTTCAAGGACAAGGTGGAAGGATTGGAGCTGGTGGGGAAGTTTTGTGGAATCCATCAGGAATCTTGGCCACCCCTTTGAACCCCTGGTCATGTTCAAAGAGTCCTTCCCTGCCCATTTGCTGATCGTCCCCCATTTGCATGTCTGAGTGGTCCAGGGAAATGTTTGGGGAACTTTGAAGACTTCTGCTCTTCAGAAGTCTCCAACCAGCGTTTATTTCCCAGGAGATGTTGGGGCAGATACTCCCAGTTCGGGGCTGATTTGCCTGTCTCTGCCTCGGAGATTAAACACCACGAGAGCTTGGAATGCTCGGCCCTGCCCTCCAGTCTGCTCCGGCATTGTCTGCGATTACTTTTTAATCTGGAAATTGCCTTTGAAAAGGAACTGGAATTGCTGCACGCTGAGGTGATCTGTGAGACGTGCAAAGTGAAAGCCAGAATTGCCTTTCAAAGAAGGAAAAAAGGAACAGGAACATTACAAACATCTCTAAATAACTGCTATTCATTTGGGGAACAATTTTGCATAATGGTGCAAAGCCCAGCAGGGGAAAGTAATAATTTAGTGGCAGATGTAAAAGGCTTTGGCGTCTTTGATGACCCCAAAGATGAGCTTGGGCAAGGCTTTGAGCAGCCCCAAATTCCCAGGCATCCTCCAGATGACCTCAATGGCTGTCCTGGTTTAATGTAGGGAGAAAACCCAACCTGGAGACTCCTGAGATGAAGGACTTGGACACTCAGTTCACAAATTGTGTCTCAGATTCCATCATGGGAGCGTGGTGGTTTAATAATAAAGGAATAGATCAGATGATGCTCCTCTTTCATGCTTTCTGCTGAGTCAAGAAAATAAAATCTGTTCCCTCAAATAATCCATTTCTCAGTACTTTTGAGAGAGGGGAAGTTTAATCAGCTCTAAATGCTTTCTAATGATTTTATTTCCTTTATTTTTGTGTATCTCCTTCTGTTTGAGAAGAATTTGGTGAAACACTGAGGCAGAAATAGGAATTTCTGCCCTTCTCAGAACGAGATGTGCCAAAAACTTGTGCCCTCCATGCAAGGGATTTCACAGGGAAGGTCACTGCACCTTTCCCAATGGTTTCATTCATCCTTGTCATGGTTCCTTGGGATGCAAAACAATTTCCTGAGTAACCCAGATGAATCAGCCTCTGATCAGGAATTAACCGGGCTCGTAAGATTTGAGGATAAAAGAAACCTCACCGGAGGAATGCATACATTACAGGGAGGAAACGAAATCCAGGCAAGAAACACAAACAGAGAGGAAAAGTAAATCCCCAGCCAGGGGTATTTTGCATATGAGGAATCGTTAGCAATTGGCTGCTAATGAGCTACACGCACAATTTGTGTCCCAGATCCTCGGGCTCTCTGGGCCAGGGTATAAAACCAGCCCGGTCTGAGGAGCTACAACCACTCCTGGCCTTCTTCTCCCTGGAGGAAAGGGTAAGTCTGATCTGCTTCCCATTTTCTTTGGATTGTTGCTGTCTTTGTGTTTTATTTTTCGAGGTTTCCGCTCTTTAAAATTGCTGGGGAGACCTCGAAGCAGCTTTTTCTCCAGGGAGGGACATTCTGTGAATGGGTGGAGGTCACTTCTGTGCTGACCCCGGATTTTTTCATTTGCGCCCCCCAAATCTTTCCATCCCAAGAAGTCCCGAGCTCTGCCTGAGCGCTGCTCAGACCTGGGAGCGGATGTGAGGAATCTGTGCAGAGTTTTTGCCTCTCGGGATGGAATCACAAAATATTCGGGGTTGGAAGGGACCTCTGGAGATCTCTCAGGGCAGGTGGCACAGGAAAGCCTCCAGGAGGGTTTGGAACGACTCTGGAGAGGGAAACTCCTGGGCACGAGGGTCTGAATGTGTCCAGAGGGAGAGTCCCTGAACTCCCTTGCTCAGAGCTACCTGTGCCAAGGCCTCACAGTGAAATTTCTGCTCTTTTTTTTTTTTTGTTTGTTTGTTTGGTTTTCTGTTTTGGGGTTTTTTAAATTGTTTTGGGCCTTTTTATTTTTAATTTTTAATTTTTTATTTTTCCCTCTGTTTTGAGGCTCAGTTTTCCCTTACTTTCCTGGCTGCTTGCTCCCTCACCTCCCCGCCTATTTCAGGGCTGCAGGAGGGAAAGGAGAGCACAGAGCCGCTCGGGAGGAAATGGAGCTGCCCTTTGTGGTGTGGAGAGCCTTGAGCTTCACCGAAATCCCCTTTCAACCCCAGACCAACCCTTCCTTCCACTCCCCACGCACTCCGCGCGCTCTCCATCACCACAACAGCTTAATTACGCGGCTAATTACACCTCGTTCCTTGCATTCCAGAACCCGCTGCCTTCCAGACTCTCACCCCACAGCCATGTCCTGCTACGACCTCTGCGCCCCAACCTCCTGCGGCCCCACGCCGCTGGCCAACAGCTGCAACGAGCCCTGTGTCCGGCAATGCCAGGACTCCACCTACGTGATCCAACCCTCGCCCGTGGTGGTCACCCTGCCCGGGCCCATCCTCAGCTCCTTCCCCCAGAACACCGCCGTGGGATCCTCGGCGTCCGCGGCCGTCGGGGATGCTCTGAGCGCCGGGGGAGTGCCCATCAACTCGGGCAGCTCCTCGGGGCTGGGCAGTTTGGGGTACTCGGGTCTGGGGGGGCTCTATGGGAGGTCCTACCGGCGCTCCAACCGCTGCGGGCCCTGAGGGAGCCGCGGGAAGGGATGAGCAGGAGATGGAAACGCGATGGGATGCAGGAAAGCGCAATCGGATGCAGGAAAGCGAGATCGGATGCAGGACTGAGCCCGTGCCCACCCGCTTGCTGACCCCCGCAGCTTTGCCCTGAGCTCCCGGCGCTGCAGGAGCTTGGCTTTCCCCATTTGATGCCTTTCTGTGCAATCAGGGAGGTGAAAAATGTCACTCGATTGTCGCTGGGTGTCCAGCTGTAAAGCACTGCCTGGAAATGGGTGATGAATTTTAATCCCTTATTCAACCTTTCTGTATTCAACCCTTCTGCTTTCTTTTGCTGTATTTTTTTTTAAATTCTACTTCTTGCTCATTAAATAGATGGCGCATCACAATTTGTGGTTTGCAATGTTCCTTCTCTCTCTTCCTCTTTGAAGCCTTCTCTGGCAGAAATTTGCCTGTGCATAAATTGTGAGTACTAAGCAGATCCGCATTTAAGTTACACCACGCTAATCACTGAGGAGTTAGAGAAATATAAACAATGAGTAATATCCTTTTTTTTGGGGGGGGGGGTGGAATATTTTCCCTTTTTTCTCATTTCTGGAAGAACAATATGAAATATTGTTCTGGCTAGCAACAAATGGGGGAAAAGAGGTGGGAAAGCTAAAGCAGCTTTACGGACAAAACTTTATTTAATTTATTCTCAACATCCCGTCTAAAACTCCTCTCCATAAATTCGAACCCATTTCCCCTTGTCCTGTCCCTCCAGGCCTTTGGAAATAATTTCCCCCCGTATTTCTTTTCGGCTCCTTGAGACACTGGAAGGTGAAATGAGATCACCCCGGATCTTCTCTTCCTCAGGCTGAACAAACCCAGGCAGAACTTTCAAAACCCAACAGACAGAATGAAAACTTAGATCTCGTCCTTCCCTCGTCGTCCTGCTAGGTTAGAAACGCTGCAATTATGTCTTAATTGTTTGCTAAGCGATGTGGTGATTGAGGGGCCTGGGTGTCACCAGGAATCCTCAGAGCAAGAACAATTACTCAGAACCTCGGGGAAGGTAATGACGGGGAAATTGCTGAACAAACATTCCTCAACATCGTGTTAAGTACCCCAATTAAACTCCCATTCCACATTTCAAACGCGGGGAACAGGGCAGATCCTGTGATAAGGAACCCTCAGCACGCTGGGGAGTTCTGCTCCCGGAGGAAAAAATAAATGACAAATAAAAACCAGAGAGGCTTTTGTGCAACACCAACAGCGGTTTAATGTCAGAGAGAAGAGCAACAACCGAGGGCAGGGAATACAAGCAATCCCAGGGGCAGCAGGGGATGCAGAATTCCTGTTCTGGGAGCAGGGACCAGCTCAGGAGCAGCATAAGCCAGGGATGGAGGAGTCCAGGCACAGAGAGGGGATGGAGGGCTCAGGGTGTCCCGAGGGGATGGAGGGCTGAGGGAATCCCGAGGGGATGGAGGGCTCCAGGAATACCGAGGAAATGAAGGGCTCAGGGTAAAAAGAGGGGATGGAGGGCTCAGGGCACATCCAGGGGTTCTGGGCACACTCAGCTGCCACTGCCAGCGCCTCCTGCCCGGTGTCCCCATGGCCCGGGCCGGGCTCCAGGGCTGGCACTGCCTCTG